GTTGTTGTTTAGTCATGCACTTGTGTCCAACTCTTTGCAGCCCCATGGACTGTAGCCCACCAGGCTCCTCTGTCCATGGAATTCTCCAGGCAAAAATACTGGAGTGGATTGCTATNAGTTTATGAGGCCATCCAACCATCTCATCTTTTGTTGTCCCCTTCTTCTGCCTTCAATCTTCTCAGCATCAGGGTCTTTTTCAAAGAGTTGGCTCTTCACATCAGGTGGCCAAAGTATTGGCGCTTCAGCTTCAGCCCAGTCCTTCCAATGAATATTCAGGGTTGATTTCCTTTAGGATTGACTGGTTTAATCTCCTTGCTGTCCAAGGGACTCTCAAGAGTCTTCTCCAGCACTGCAGTTCAAAAGCATTAATTCTTTGGTGCTCAGCCTTCTTTATGGTCCAACTCTCACATCCATACATGACTCCTGGAAAGACCATAGCTTTGACTGTGTGGACCTTTATTGGCAAAGTAATGTCTTTGCTGTTTAATACACTGCATAGGTTTTCATTGCTTTTTTTCCAAGGAGCAAGTATCTTTTAATTTCATGACTGTAGTCACTCTCCACGGTGATTTTGAGGTCCAAGAAAAGAAAGAGACCAGGGGACTAGAATAATTCTGTAAGTGGATATTAATGCTATGAACAGTTACGATAGAAATAGTATTGGAAAGAATTATAGTAAGCCAGGAGCTAGCATATTCAAGGAATGAGGAAGAGTATCCTGGGTGGAGGAGAAGGTGGGCAGCAAGGTGGGCAGTAGGCAGTGTGGCCTTCACGGGGTTGTCATGAGGATAAAATGAGTGGGTGCATGTGTTGAAGTTCCCAGCACTGAGCATAGGCTCAGCAAGCATTACTGGTTTTCATTTTGAGTCTGTATGAATCTAGAGATCAAAGCTTAAGCCACCGAGTTTATTTTTGCAAGTAGGTTGATTGCTCTTCATTTTAAGACCTTTCTAAGAGGCAGAGCTGCTCACGCAGCCACATTCGACCTGGGGAGGTGGTGAATTTCCTGTCTCTCAGCACGTTCAGCAGGCAGAATGAACATCTGCCAATGACAATGTAAAGGGGACTCCAGCAATTGAAGGTGATGGGTAGGTAGATGGTGGGGGTGATTCTAAAAATTGAAGGGCTTGGGGAGTGGGGAGCAGAGGTGTCAGAGCTAGATTCTTTCTGTCACTCAGACATGACTGAACACTTCTCAGTTATGGCGCAGAGCCTGGCTAGGTGCAGGGGGCCAGAGATAGATCTTACGGGCTGGGACAGAGCTGCAAACATGTGGTCTGGTGAGAGCCAGCACAGGCACGGCAGAGCTGTGACGATCTCTGTGGTGTCAAGAAAGGCTTCAAAGTCCAGGGGCACTTGATCTAGTAGAGGAGGTTCGGGGGGAGGATGTGGTCCCATGTGAACAGAGTGGGAAAGGACATTTCAAGCAGAAGGAGCTCTCTGGGCAGGACTGCAAATGTATGGAAGAGCATGAGGCATTTGGAGTGCTACAACTGAGTTACTCTGGGCAAATCACTCTTCTTTCTTGTCTCAGTCTCCCCATTTATAAAATGGGGATAGCAGTGGTATCCTCTCAACCATGGGATGGTGAGGAGGGCGGGATGGTGAGGAGTAAATGAAGTGATGTGGATAATTTTTGTCATAGTTCCTATTGCAATACCTTTGGGTGTTTTATCTAACTTGATTATTTAAATAATCCCTTGATATGGGCTCTGTTATTATTATTACCAATTTACAGATTTAAAAAACTGCTTCCTAGGGGGTTGAACAGCTTGTCCAAGGTCATATAAACTGGTGAGAGGCAGTTTGAACTCTTTCCCAGCTCAGTCTAATTCCAGAGTCCTTACTCTTAACTCTTAAGCTACAGGCAGTGCTTTGCATGTAGCTAGTATTACACACTTGGTAACTATTACTGTCATGAGTGCTAACGTGTCTCTCCCAGAGAGTTGAGGATTCTATTACTGACTGCTTCTGTAGCTGGTTGACGATCATCAGTGCTAGTATCTCATGACCAGCAGTGACTATTTTTGGAAGGCCCTCACCATTTATGGTACCTATAGATCAACAGTTATACCACTTGTTACAATTTGTTGATTTTTAGAAATGAAGAATCAAGAGTGATTTTTAATTTCCTTAGAGGGCAAGTTGTTCCAAGTAAATGTGATGTGAGGGAGGAAGAACTGGGTTTGCTGTCCTCCTCTGAACACTGTGCAATGAACCCAAACACAGGTCTCAAGCCCCAGCATTGAGGGGGTGGCAGTGAAGAGGCAGATACAGGTGAGAGTGGCATCCTAAGTGCTGTGACTGCCCAGAGTGCTGTCTTTGAGGCCGCTGAGCAGGAACCCTGTCCATCAGTGGTGCCTGTGGTAATCATAGACCTCTAAAGGATGGGCAACACTTCCCTCACTCACTCATTCATTCATTCAACAAATAACCCTTGTTTGTTGTTGTCTAATCACTAAATCACGTCCGACTCTGCGATCCCATGGACCACAGCCTGCCAGGTTCCTCTATTCATGGTGTCGGGGGAGTTTGAAATTTCCTTTGTTCTGTCTTGTCACAACAGAAATTTGAAGCGACAAACTGCCCAATGTTACAGCCCCTTGTAATTTCCTCAGACGGACCAGTGTTACAGCTCTGTGTGAGAGCTCAGTTTTATTTCTAAAGCAAAGGAAGATACATCCTCAAGGCATGAGGGCGGGTTGACCCAAGAGACACGAAGAGAAGAGAAGCCCCCAGCCCAATTTTGGCTCCTCTTTTTATATGGTTTTTCTCCTCTCCTTTTTATACGTATTTCTTCCTCCCTCTGGTCCTGCCCTATGTAAATTGGGCTAGCCAGGAATGCTGTTTGTTTTACCTGAGGTGCTCACTCGGTCCTGGACCTTCCTTTGTTCCACTTTTGTGGGCTTTTCCCTTGTCTTTTAGCCACTGCCATTCTGGACTCCTTTTTCCTATTCTAACTACCTAAAAATGGGATTTCCCAGGCAAGAATATTGGAGTGGGTTGCCATCTCCTCCTCCAGGGGATCTTCCCGACCCAGGGATCGAACCCATGTCTCATTGAGTATCTCCCATATGCCAGACATGCATCTGTGCACTGAGGGTAGTAGCGAAGACCCAGCACTTACAGGGTTCACATTTTTAGTAGAAGGAGACAAATGGTAATCCAATAATAATATGAATGCGTGCATAATCACTAACCCCTCTCCCTCACCTCAGAGGAAACTCGTATGACATGAAAAGAAGGCTAGCTATCAGAGGCAATTTTTGGACTGTACCAGGAGGCTGCTAGGGAGCCAGTGCTTCTCCAAATGGATGAGGGGAGCCCTGACTGTTTTTTGACAAAAAGCAGAATGGCACTTCTCACTTCTGTCATGTCCATCACGCCCAGGATCTGCCTGCCTGCCTCCTGGTCATGAAAAGCTCAGACACCCCCAGCCTAGATATTTGAATATGTAGAACTTTTAGTCACACTGATGCATATACAGGTAACACTTTGTTTCACTTTCTTTGTTATAATATTTTAAGCATTTTATTTCATGTTGCTACTTAAAATTCATACACCATTATGTATATATTCTATCTGATTGTAAGTACCATAGTTTAATTATTTTACTATTGTTGTAAGCTTAATTATTAATTTTAGATTTTTTTCACCATTATAAATCTCTTTGAAACTGAAATCTGTTTTTTCTTTTTGCACATGCAAATTGCTTCATAAAATTCATTCTTTGTCTCATGAATCTTCTTCCAGTTCTCACCAAAGCTGTGTAAGGTAGGGAATTATCTTCTGTGTGAGGAAACAGAAATATACAACTTTTTCCCCTTGGAATTATTTATTCAATATTATTTCCTGGGAGTACAATAACTTGGTTCATAGTCATAAGCTCTTAATTCTTTGGTGTGATTACTTTCTAAAAAAGTTAAATTAATTTCTACTGCTCTCTTGAAATATACCAATTTCATTATAATCTGCCTGTCAATGAGTATCATCATTTTGAAAACTACTGGTTAAAGTTAATTTTATAAACTAGTATCTTAATGTCCCAGTTACCTCTTTTGGGTTTCTCCAAAGAGTAATCATAATTTCATATGTTCATTAATGATATTCTCTGTTTTGTGATTTGTTTGCTCATGTTGATTGCCTGTTCATTTTTAAAGGCGTTTACGGTGAAACTTCCATACACCTTGAGTCTGATTTTCCTTTTTATTACAATATTTTTATTGTATAGAAGTTGGAATTTTCATGCAACTATTAAGTTGTCCTTTGTTATTTTTCTACATTCCATCAGAAGGAAGAAAGCTAACAAGTATAGAGTTCTATTTTTAGCTTCTAAAACATATTTTTATAATTTTTTCTAACTCTAAGAGTAATGATGTACACTTTAAATTTTTCGATACACAGAAATTTATAAAAAATGAAAATGCTCATTACTTCTCATTCTACCTTCCAGGTATGTGTGTGTGTTGGTGTATATATTGGTGTAGTCTTTCCTCTTTCTCAGATTTGAATTTAAATTTTTTTTTCTGAATTTCAGTTAACATTATACTGATAGAACTTTCATATATCATATATCATTAAATATTCTTTGATAATAAATAACTTTTAAAAGGTCTGTTTAGAGTTCATTTTGGATGAACTGAATCCTGTCTTCCCAAAATTGTTATTTATGCATGCACAAACCAGCAACGAGACAATTCTTTCTTCCCAGGCTGGGAATGGTGTATGGTGCTTGCTTCATCTTTCTGTCATGTGCTTATTAGTATTGGACTATTTCTAGGATTTCTGTGCTGTTTATGAACCCAGAACATTGCATCTGTAATTGACTTTTGTCTCTCTCTCTCGCTTTTTTTTTTTTCTGAGCCCTTGGGGCTTCCTGGATTGAGCCATACCAGGGCCCACATTGGAGTTTAGCAGAGGTCCCTGACTATCTTTTTAATCTTTAACCTTGCTCCTCTTGAAAACTGGTGCTTAACTCTCTTTTACCCTCCTCTTTGTAGATGGTGTTTGATCATCCTGAGAAGAACGAGCCTTGGCCTCCAGACCCAGTAAAATAGACATCCATGGAGAACAGTGCTCGTTCCTGAGGGCCAGGAGGGCTTGCAGCCCAGGAGGATTAGCTGGAAGCAGGTAAGGAACACCTGGAGGAGTGGGATGTGGAACCTGCACAGGGGTCCATACTCTGTTTAGGAGAGGCACATGGAGTGCGCTGGCAAGAAGCCACAGAGGCTCAACGTCTGGCTACAGCTTTGCTGTTTTCTTTGTGTTTTTTATTCATTTATTTTCAGTCCCTAGTTTTGATAGGTGATTTGCCTATTTCTATAAGCTATAAATATAAGATTTAAAGTTATTCTGTAATTTAATCTCCCTTTTTAAAGCACCTACTCTGGCCAAGCCCTGCGTGTGATACCCGGCATGTAGTGATATAGTGATATAGATGGGGAGCCCTCCTTTGGGATTTTCTTTCTGTTGGTTCAGTGTTGGCTTATTCTCTGTAGGTGATAATGTGAGTTGTTACTTATTCTTCTAGAAGCCAGGTGGGGGTTGTTAGTGTTCAGTGATAAGTCCAGTCAACTCAAGAATCTTTTATTGAATACCCACTGTGTTCTAGGCGTGAGAGGGCACTGAAATTTCAGAAATGAGCCAGGAGGAGTCTCCCTCTAGCAGGGGGTCAGCATGAAAAGCAAACATTACGGGGACTTCTCTGGTGATCCAATGGCTAAGACTTCATTCTCCCAGTGCAGGGGACAGGGGTTTGATTCCTGGTCTGGGAACTAAGATCCCACACGTTGTAGGGCATGGCCTAAAAAGAAAATCAAAAGCAAGCATTACTAAACACTAGAGACAAATAGCAGGGAGCAAGAACAGTAGGGAAGGGGAGGTGGCCTCCACAGGAGCCCAGAAACGGAAAGGCTGTTTGGTTGCCAGGCAAATGGACAAGGGGAGAGATTCCAGCAGTGCAAAGTTCTAGAGAAGTAAGAAGGCAATCAGAGAAATGATTGAGAAATTAAAAACTTGGACTATTTTCCCAAAGAATTTGGGGGAAAATATTTACTATTCCTTTCCTTCAGTTTGGGCTGTTTAGATGAAACTGCTTCAGTCCGTGTCTTTCTGTAGCAGCTTGAGAGATGAGATTGACGCTCTTAAGTCCCTCTGACCAGAGGGTCTAGCCAGTGACGGACTGGGAGCCTCAAAAGAGGATGGTGTTCAAGAGGCCTGGGAGCCCTGACGTGAGGTTTCAGATGAGTGCCCATGGCACTCGTGACAGAGCACTGACCCTGAAGGCTGACGTGCTCTTGAAGTTGTAAGACTGTATGGTTGAAGGTTTGGGGAACTCTTCTTTCCCAGGAAACTCGACCTTTGAGGGCAGGGTCTGGCAGGAAGCCGAACACAAGCCCTTCTGAGCCTCGGCCCAGTGAGATAGTGAACCAGGTTCCATATCCCTGCCTCCTGTCTTATTTCACTTATACACATAAAAGTTAAGTCCAAACTCCATCATTACCAAATCACTCACGCAACTTTGAAAATTATTTATGTTTACAAAATCATAGTTTCTGTAGTTATAAATAAAACTAATAACATTTTCTCTGCTTATCTCACAGGGTTGTACTGGGTCTCATAAATCCAATTGCTGGGTCACCTGACTGGTAAAATAGTGCACAGTAGCAGTGTCAGCACTGATAGTGAGGGTGTTTATTTTGTGATTGTCCAGCAGTTGTCTCGTTAGAGACTCTGAATTCTGAGTCTTAAGTCAACACTGACTTTTCATTGTACCTTTTCACAATGCCTCTCCATTAGTGCCAAAACCATGGACTTTTAGTCAGACAGATCTGGGTTGGAATTCTCAGTTATAAGTATGCTCACCAAACTCAGGAGAAGAATAGAGGAAATAAGTACTGGCAAGGGTGTGGAGAACAGGAACCCTCATACACTGTTGGTGGGGGTGTAAATTTGTGTATCCACTGTGGAAAACAGTATGGAGTTAGCTTAAAAAATTAAAAATAGGACTACCATATAATCAAGGCAGTTCCACCCCTGAGTATTTGTCCTGGAAAACAAAAAGCTAATTCAAAAGATTTATGCATGCCAATGTTCATTGCAGAATTACCTATAATTAATAATTGCCAAGACATGGAAGTATCCTGAGTGTCCATCAACAGATGACTGAATAAAGAGTATGTGATATATACATGTATATACACAAACACAATGGAATATTACTCAGTCATTAAAAAGAATAAAGCCATACCATAAAACCTTGCATTTTGTGATATGGATGGATCCAAGGAGTATTAGGCTAAGTGAAATAAGTCAGAGAGAGACACACACACAAATACTGTATACTTTCACTTACATGTGGAATCTACAAAAACAAAAAACAGAAACAGACTTATAGATACAGGGAGCAAACTAATTGTTGCCAGAGAGAAGGGTGATGGGGGAAGTGTGAAAGAGGTAAAGGGGGTTTGAGGTATAAATTACCAGTTACACTTCAGTGTGCTGGTGTGGTCTTGGCTGGCTGGCTAGAGTATCAGTTATATATAAGTCACAGGGATGTAATGTACAGCATAGAGTCTATCGTCAAAAATGTTATAATGGTACATAATCTATAAAAATGTCAAATCACTGTTTTACAGCTGTAACTAACATTCTAAGTGAACTGTACTTCAGTTACACATGATGAGGCCCTGAAGTTCAGGTTGATGAGTCATGGCCAGGGTTCCACTCTGCCGTTGTTTGCTCTCCCACATTGCCTCCACATGGCTCTCATGCCGGTGGGGCCTGGGGGCTGTGCTAACCTCTGTGCCTTCATATTGATCTAGTTCAAAGTCCGTGAATGCCGTTCTCCTTTGGTGTTCCCAGGACCAGTGAATGAGACAGGGCAGAGATGATTACCTCACAGAAACAGGTTCACAGAGGTCAAGAGACTTGCCTAAGGCCACCAAGAGTGGGGACAAGAAGCCAGGTTCTGTGATACCCACTTCAGTACTCCTACCACCTTATCTCTGATAGCCTTAGGAGCAGGCTTCCTAGAAGTGGACTATAGATCCATTTCGTTTTTTTTTTTTCCTGAATTTTTAAAAATTATAGTATGGTTGATTACAATGTTGTGTTAATTACTACTGTATAGATTCTTCATCAGTTAGCAAAATCCTGGGGATAGTTGCTTTGACTTATCATGGTAACTAAACCTAGTTATTTAGGGAATAAGTTAATGTTTTCCAGAAGATACAGACAGTATTTGAATTCAAAGTTCTTCAATTTTCCATTCAGTTTGACAATAAATTCTGGGAAAGCAAAGTAGGTCTTTACTCAGATATAAAGGGGCCTATTCAGGCTCTATTTAATTTGTGAAGTCCATTTTCTAGAACTTTCAGCATTCTGGACATGATGCAGTGAAAGGGTCATGGGTTAAGAAAGCAAGTGCACTTGGATTTGAATCTCAATGCTACTATTTAAGCAATTCTGTGATCCTAAGCATTTCCCTTAATTTCTCAGAGCCTCAGGTGGTTAATCTATAAAAATGGAGATTATGGCACCATCATGGTTGGTGATGGTCAGGGCTTTTCTGCACAGCTCTGGAGGTGCCCTTCATGTTAGATTATTATTAACATGGTGCTCACTGATATTCTGTATCATGATACCCCTTGGTTTATGATGAAATTAAATGAAATGACCTCCTGTGTACTTAATGCATTTTTGTTTTAATCTCCTTAACTGGTCACATATCTGCTGTCTTATTAGGAGAGTCCATCTTCTGCTGTGAGGAGAGTCAATTTTCTGCCACATGCAGAACTCCATAAACCTGAATGTTCTTTTGCGAAGCTAACCCTTGGCTTTCTTCTCGAACAGGAATCTAGCACCAGAGCCCTTAGGGAGATGCACCATGCACCTACCACACTGTTTATGGTGAGAGGTCTCCTCCTGGCAATTTAAAAAGGAGGCCAGGCCTTTTTATGGAGTTTGGCTTCCTGTGACAGACACGTCAGCCTGCTCTGCTGTTTTCTTTTAGTTTTTCAAGCATGTATGCCTTCCTTGAACAAATAGTGTGAGGCCCTAGGAACTGAATGTGTAAGTTGTGGTTCGCAACCTCAGGAAGCTCAGAGAGCAATCAGGAAGCCAGATTGAGACAACAGGAAACTAAGATTCAGGGAGTAAAAGGTGTGGTGGGCAAGTCCATAGAGCACTCATGGCTCAGAGAGGAAGATGAGAGTGTCTGAGCATGACTTTCTACATTTCAAGCCCAAACTGAGGGTGATTTTTTTTTTTTGTTTTTTGAGACTTGCTTAACATGGGAGGTAGGCATGGGCTGGAACTCAGGCCTCGTCACTCTGGAGCCATTGCTCAGCTCATCATTACTTTTGGCTGTTCTTTACATCACTTTCTGCCTTGTCTCACTTTTTTTTAGGCATATTTTCCTGCTCAGAACAGCACGGTTTCCTCGAACACGTCTTTCATTATGACTCGCACCAGCTTGAAGAAAAAATTCTTCAGCTGCTGTGTGCTCATCTTTCTCCTGTTTGCGATCATCTGTGTGTGGAAGGAAAAGAAGAAAGGGAATTTCTATGAGTTCCTTAAACTGCAGAACAAGGAATTCCAGCTGTTGCAGGGCCTGGAGAAGCTGGCTGTGAGCTCTAGTTCCCAACCTGTGTCCTCGAGCAGCACCCACAACCCCCAGAGGAGCAGCCAGGCACTCGGTGGCCCCAAGGCCAAGTTGGAGACTACCTTCCAGGTGTGGGACAAGGACAGCTCCTCCAAAAACCTTATCCCCAGGCTGCAAACCATCCGGAAGAATTATCTGAGCATGAACAAGTACAAAGTGACGTACAAGGGGCCAGGGCCCGGGGTCAAGTTCAGTGCAGAGGCCCTGCTGTGCCACCTCCGGGACCACGTGAACATTTCGATGATAGAGACCACAGATTTTCCCTTCAACACCTCTGACTGGGAGGGCTACCTGCCTCAGGAGAACATTAGGACCAAGGCGGGGCCGTGGGGCAGGTGTGCTGTTGTCTCTTCAGCAGGATCTCTGAAGTCCTCCCGGCTGGGTCGAGAAATAGGTGGGTTCTGCCGTGTGGAGACTGTTATCTGAGTGGCCAGGGCTCATTTGGACCTTCTGGGCACGTGGACAGGAGTGGGGACTAGCAGTCCCAGTATGGCTCGTGGACTGGGGCAGCAGCCCCGTCGGGGTTCTCAGATGTGCTTCATGAGTCAGAGGTGGCCAGGGGGCAGTGGAGAGAATGGGGATCCAGTCCTCCAGCAGCTTTATTAATTCAAATACCTCTATTTTGATCCATCTTAAATACTGGTGTCCTACAGAAAATTTTTGAAAAGAAAGTTCCTTTGCTACCAAGAAGCAAAACACTGCATTAACATTTAAAAATATTTAAAACATAGATCTCTACTTTATCTTCAGGTCCTGAAATTCTATAATTTACTGATTAATTAGCAACTAATTATCTCTTTGGCCTCAATGACCTAACTAATTTTTAGTTTTTCTCTTTGAAAGAAATTAATTGGGGATTCTGGACCAACTTCAGGAGGTTCACAAATCCCTAAAATCATATGAAAAATTGTGTATTTGTATAATTCAGCCTGCATTTTTCCAAAGAGAGAATCCATAGCTTTCTGTTGTATCTCAAAGGGGTCTGTGACCCCCAAAATGGTTAAAAATCACTGATGAGAATATATAAATTTGCTTTTCCCAAAATTTTTCATAGTTAATAAGGATAGACAAATTAGGGTTAACATATACACTATATGAAAGAGATAAACCAACAAGAACCTGCTGTATAACATAGGGAACTATTCTCAATATTTTATAATAACCTATAAGGGAAAAGAATCTGAAAAAAATAATATATATACACACACACACACACACACACACATATATATATATATAATTATGACTGATTTGTGCTGTTGCACGGCAGAGACCAACACAATACTGCAAAGCAATTATCCTCTAATGAAAAAATAAAAAACTATACTTCAATAGAAATAAACTTTAAAAAGTAGAAAGTTTATCCAGATTTGTAAACATGTATACAGCACAGAGCTATGGATTTGCTTAACGTTCCTTAGTTCGATTGTCCTGAGAGAATGTGTTTTCCATGATTGTGAAATGAATTAGGCTAAAGAAAGCAAAGCACAGGAAGCCTAGCTCTTCTCTCAGGCCCTGGAAGGTACTGGAGCAGGTGAGGTCATACGTCTCCTTTTTTATTTCCTTCATATGACTGCCAGGAAAAATGGTCTAAAACTAAGCACAGGCTCTCAAAAGAAGTAAAGTAGACCCAAATTAGGTTCTCTAGAGCAGAAAGAAGTGATGAGATCATATTTTATACTTCCCCAAATGGGCAGCACTTAGGAATAAAAGCTGCCAAGATAACCAACCCCACCCCAACTTTTGCTTTTGCTTTTTTGGGTTTCTGTTGGATTTCGTTTTCTAGAAGCTAAATGTAATTGTTTTTATTTCATCTCTAATGGAACTAGATTTCTTTCTTCCTTCCCCAATTTTTCTCTTTAATGGTAATGTTTAAAATATTCCAGGTGTTAGCTGATCCTCTTCTTCAAGTCACCATTGCCTGCCTGGCTGGAATTGTGTTGAAGTTTCAGGTAGAACCTAATACTTCCATGAATTGGAACTATAATCTTTATTTTTATGTACTTCATAAAACATTGGAGGGGTTTAACTAAACTTTAAAATAATATTTTTCTATAGATTGCAGTTATCATTTCAACTATGTGATTCCATGGAAGGACTTAGATCCTGAGATCTAACAAAAATTGTGTGTTAGACTTCAAATGTTCTGCCTTCTGTTGGGTATTTCCTTTGGGCATTTAGTCTAACAAATACTTTAAGAAATTAATTCATGTATTCTTTTATTCCCACGGATTCATCAACAGTACCAAATAGGAACTTAGAATACAAAGAGGAAAGCAAGAGGAAAGGCCTTTTGTTAAAGGCCTCTGAGCTTACCAGGCCCACAGCCTTCCCATCACACCTGGAATTTGTCCAGCTTATTCCCAACTGTTGAACATATCAGATAGTTTCAAATTGTTTGCTCTTAAAAATAGTACTGCTAATGAGTTTTTTGTGAAGATAAATTAAGTGACCACTACTGCCCTCCAAAGGGGAAATACCCTTAGGAGTTGGGCTAGAAGACCAAAGTAACATGTTTTAGGGCTCTTTTTCTGGTGCATTACCAAAGTGCTTATCAGAGGAACTGTAACAAGCTGTTGTGTCTCTGGCAGTCCCACAAACCAGCCAACGGTGGGCATAGTCATTTTTAATTGTTTTTGATACATACACATGTAAAGTATCTTAGATTTGTTTGAATATTCATTTCAAGCAGTAGCACACTTAACGAATATTATAACTAATAGGAGTAACACATATGGCGCACCTGCTGTGTGAGTGACAAGCCTTGCTCTTTTAATCCTCCCAGTAATCCCACGAGGTAGGTACAATTATTGTCCCCATTTTACTGATGAACTAAGTGTTAACACTCAGAAAGCTTACACAGCTGGTTGATGGTAGACTGGGACTTGAAACTGGGGTGTTTGACTCCAAGGCCCCCCACACTTGGCCTAACCTCCTCTTTTGTGCCCCATGGTGATTGTAATTTTATAATAATGAATGAATCCCTTGTCAGGTTAAAATAATCACTTCATATTCTTCCTGATTTTCTCTCCTAGAAGAGAGGAGAAGAACATTCTGAGACAAAAGTAAGAAGCAAAGGCTGCCTGGAAAAAAAAAAGGGCAGAGCATGTTTAAGCATCACAAATAACCCTGTTTGGCTGGAAGGTAGGGTCTCACAGGGTGAAGAGGGCTGAGAAATGAGGTCGGAAGGGTAGTCAGGGTTCAGTTCTTAGAGGAAGTTGACCGTCATAATAAGGACTTAGAATTTGGTTCTTTAAGCCATGGAGAGGCCTAAAAGGTTTTAAGCAAGCTTAAACACATGATGGGATCATGTGTGTTTCAGAGAGGTTTCATATGTCTCTGAGTCTCCTTGTCTCAGGGGATTGCAGTCTAATCTCTCTGCTGTTAGGGGCTGTTGCCACATCCAATGAGAAATGCCAGGCCTGTTGAGGAGTGGTAGTGGTGGCGGGAAGAGAAGGTAAGACTTGAGAGGCATGGTGAGGTAGAAGAGACAGAACTTGGTTCTAATTAGACATGACCTTGAGTGAGTGGTAGAAGCCAGGGTCTCTGGCCTGGGAGCAGGCTCTATCATATCACCAGGAAGCATTCTTCTGGAGGAAGATAGGTTCCATTTTGGATGTTCTAAGTCTGAAGTGTTTGTGGGTATCTATGCAGTTGGGTATTTGCTTGCAGGGAAGTGTAAGGGTGGGAGATTAAGACTCATTTGTTTCAAGGTGATAGTTGTAATCCAGAAAAGAAGACTGATGAGAAAACCTAAAGCAAAGCCTAAAGCAAAGTTTACATTTTAAGGGCAAGGAAATAACAGGGACAAGCCAAAAAAAGGAAAAAAGAAAAAATCAGAAGGACCAGTAGGAAGGGCTGAAGTGAAGCAGGTGTATCGCATGATGGAAGGCAAAAGCGGATGGAGTTTGGGCACATTTTGGGGCAGGTGGAGTTCCTGGGCAAAGTGATGACTGGGAAGACACCCTTGGATATTGAGTAGCTCAGACAGCATGATTATTTATATCAGGGTTCAGCAAACTTTCCCTATAAAGGGCCAGATAGCAAATATTTTTGAAGACATACAGTGTCTCTTAAAATGACTGCTATTTTAGTGCAAAATCAACCACGTGCATGCATACATGCTCATTTGCTCAGTCATGTCTGATTCTTTGTGACCCTGTAGACTGTAGATGGCCAGGCTCCTCTATCCATGGGATTCTCCAGGCAAGAATACTGGAGTGTGTTGCCATTCCCTTCTCCAGGGAATCTTCCTGACCCAGGGATCGAACCCATGTCTCCTACATTGCAGGCAGATTCTTTACCATCTGAAAATCAACCACAGACAGTAATAAACGAATGTATCTGGTTATGTTCCAATAAAACTTTATTTACAAAGATGAGACAGGTCAGATTTGCGCTGTGGGCCATAGTTTGCCAATCCCGATCTGTGTCATATCTAGTTTTTCTAGTCGGAATCAGAATGTGGTCTTCCATACATGGTTATATGATTCATTAAGCTCATTGGAAAATATAAAAAAAAATATTTGGTCCAAGTAGTGATAAAATTTCTTTCACCATGACTTCTAGCTATTTGGAGCTATTATACCTGGACACAGTAGATTTTGATATATTTATGAATTTACTGACAAACTGATTCTGTTGAATTTTCTAAGCATGTAGTATGTCACATGCATATCATGGTGTACTTCTTCCTTTTCTAATTTGCATCTTTTTCTGTGTTCTAATTCTAAGTTAAAGAGAAGTGGATCCCCTTATTTACTACAGCCTTCCGCCTTCAAGACTTGTTTGCTGGGAGCCCAGTAGCTGTGGATTTCTCCTGGTGATTTCCTGAAGACCTATTTAAGACTGAAAGTTTTTAGGACAGTTTGGCAAATAAGAATCTAATCCCTTTTCTTATGAGCTTAAATTTAGTGGTCTGTTTTAAAGTTTCCTTCTTTTATTTTTTTAATCTTAGAATAAAATTCAAACTTCATACCTTCATACCACAGCCTGCATGATTTGCTTTCTTCCAGCCTCTTCCACTGCATCTTTTATTTTTTTTCTTTCCCTCACTTACTTGTTCCCAGTTAAGTCCTTACCCTCCTTAGAGTCTTGACACTGCTTTGTCCTCTGGCTGGAGTTTACTTTCCTGGACCCTTCCTATATATATGCATATTTTTTTCAGGTTCTTTTCCGTTATAGGTCACTATTTTGTGCCACAACAGTAATCACAATCTGTAGTTACCTTGAATATAGGTTGTTGTGCTTATTCATTGTCTTTCTCTTTACAGTGGCTTTCAAGGTCTCTAAAGGCAAGGACCTTGATTTCTTGCTCACAACCATTGTCTCTAGTGCCAGGCAGAGCGTAGGTGCTTAATCAGTATTTATTGAAAGAACAAAAACATCTTCCTTTTTCATGGTCAGCCAAGGACCATGGATGATGGTCAGCCTGTGCTGAATGTTCTCTACCTGCCGCTCCAAATCCACTCTCCACCCTTTCCTGGGAAGTAGAAATACAGACTGTGTCACCTGGGCGTTCTTGACCTTTTGGCTTTCATTTGGAACTAGACAGTGGAAGCGGGCTTCCTAGGTGGTGCTAGTGATAAAGAATCTGCCTGCTAAGCAGGAGATACAAGAGATGTGGGTTCAGTCCCTGGGTTGGGAAGATCCCCCGGAGAAGGGCATGACAACACACTCCAGTATTCTTGACTGGGAAATCCCATGGACAGAGGAGCCTCATGGCTGTAATAGTCCAAGGGGCTGCAGAGAGTTGGACACAACTGAATGACTAAGCATACAGATAGTGGAAGCACTGGTGCAAATCTGAGACTAAGAAGAAGGAGAGTGAGGCGGAATATCTGTCTCCTCTCCCCAACCCCCTCCCCGTCCCATCTCTCCTCTTAGAGTGAGTGCAGACTGCTTCTCTTCCTTGACTAAAAGTTTCAGTCCCTTTCAGGTTCTCTGAGTCCTGCTTGCTTCCTTTTCCTTCCAGGCCTGGAGGTCAGAGGAGAGGAGGAAAGAGAGGTTGTGATAATGACTCCCTCTGAGGTTGCCACCAGGTGGCCTCCTGCTGCCTTCAGTGTAGAGGTGGGGTTCCCTGCTGCATCCAACCCCAATGTATGGTACCATTCCTTGTTTGATTTCTACCTCATTAAACTCCACCCACAACTCTGTAAATAGTCCTTTTATTTGATTCTCAATGGCTGCAATTGAGCTTGCCATTCTTATCTACTGGGACTCTCAGATTAATGATTTATTCACCTGTGAAATGGGAAAGTTGACTGAAGTTTCTAATGCATCAGAATTTCTAGCATGGTTATTGCTGGTCACTTTTGAAATCAGTTGTCAATTTCAGCAAAACTGATTGCAATCTGAGTTGCGTAGAGATAAATTTACTGCTCCATTTGTGGTTCTCTGTGCCTTTCCTGTTATCTGATAATGTCTTGACTATGAACATCTTATGTAACTTTTAAAAAAATTTATTTTTAATTGGAGAATAATTGTTTTACAATGTTGTATTGGTTTCTTCTGTAAAGGAATGTGAATCAGTTTTTTTATACATATATCTCCTTTCTCTTGTGCTTCCATCCCATCCCCAATCCCCATCCCACCCATCTAGATTGTTATAGAGCACTGGGCTGAATTCCTTGTGTTATACAGCTATCTATTTTACACATAATTGTGTGTGTGTATATATATATATATATATATATACACATACATATGTGTATATATATGTGCCAATGTAACTTTTAAACCATTTTGATAAAATTTTTTCCTTAGGATTGAGGATAGGGTTGTTTTTGTGAAAGAGATATCTAGATTGCTGAGGTGTAGGGATACAAAAAGAGGGAGGCTTTCATCCCTTAATTATGTGGATATTCTCCTTTAGACCCTCTTGTATTAAGCCAAAATCCACTCCTACCCTTCTCCTGATGCCACTTTTGTGCATGAAGAGCCACCCAAAATCAACCCCTCACAGAAAGAAACTGAACAGAGGTTTGGGCTGACCTCTAAATCCTGTGCAGATTTCAGTGGTGAACTGAAGCTTGTTTGATCACGTAACCTTGAAAGGAGCTCTCATAGAATCAGAGAGGCTCCTGGTTCAAATGGATCTTAGACGTCATCAGTTCCTTCCCCCATCAGATTGGTCATTGCGGGTAGAGAATCTTCTCCAAGTCTTCCAAACACTGCTTGAACAACTACAAGGACAGAGAATGAGAGCCGGGGAGTGAGTAGAGTTTTAAAAAGATGGTTTATATGATCTTGGCTGGATTTAAGATTTTGTTCCTGACAAAGAGCCTTTTTTTTTTTTTAATAGAAAATATGGGGTTTAGTTTAGCTCTATGACTTCTCGTTCCATCTCTTCCAGCACCCAGGTTTGTGACCCCTCCAGGGCCTTGGATCCCTAACAGGAACACTTAGGGAGCTGTCACACGTGTCACAGTGCACTGCTGTGCTATGCCCAGCCGGCTTCTCAGAGTGCCATGGGGATACTCTGCACTTGTGGGTTAAGCCAAGCTTATGGTAGGATCTTTGATTTTCTGATAAGGATAGAAGTATGACCTGCGGGTAATACCAAGAGAATGTCTGGTTTGCTCCTTTGGTAACTGGAATAGCGATTCACTGGGGGTGATGCACTGGCCCTGTCTACGTGGCCCTGTGCATCATTGAATGGGTTTCAGGAGCACCAACGTACGGACCTCTTTAGCCTTCGCAGTGGCTGGGCAGACAGCTGGTGATCTCTGTCTGTGAACCTGACCTGACTGTGCCATACAAATACGGTCACTGTCCCCGGTGTATCATGAGGACATAAAGATCAGGAAGTATTATTCCCTTGCCCTCCTCTTCCTTCTGCCCTCCCTCCCTCCAGATCTTCTCTCTCTTCGCATATTGCTGATGTTCACACTGTCATCACTGCTGATGTGTTGTTTCCTTGTGGTTTCTAGATGATCACGATGCAGTCCTGAGGTTTAATGGGGCACCCACAGTCAAATTCCAACAAGACGTGGGCACGAAAACCACCATCCGTCTGGTAAACTCTCAGGTAAAACTTCTGTGCAGAAATACATCCTTCCACAAACATGGGTGGTGCTGAGTAGAGTGCAGTCATCAGTACAGAGATTCTGCAGGTAGCCTGTCTGCCACTGAAACCAGCTCTGCCTCTTGTGAGCTAGAGAATTGTGCATGTGTTACTGCTGCCTCTCTGAAGAGGGGAGAATGATCGTGCCTCCACAGGGTTGTTATGAGGAAGGAGTGAGAAGATCCACATGAAGCAGGCAGTGGCGGGCACTTATGTGTCAATGTTATCTACTCTGATATTTACGTGTGCAGAACTGAGGTGGCTGTGGAGGGTACACTGGTGAGTGAATCAGACTCAGCCCTGCTCTCATGTAACTTACAGATAACAGTCCAGCAGTCATACAGACGAATGTAAAGTTAGAACAGACAACTACAAGGAAGAGGGTCAAGGTGCCACCAGAACCTAGAAAGGGGAGTTGTCCCTAGACAGGGAAGTCAGGAGTGGCAAGGAGGTGTCTTCGCTGTGCGGAGGAGTAAGGGGTCATGGTGAGAAGTGTGGGAAGAGGCAGTGGCCTGGGGAAGGTCCTGTGTGGAAGGGGACAGGGGGGCACCAGGACCCAGGAAGAAGTGAGAGTCTTGGGGGTGTGGTGGGAGACATGTAAAGGGGGACAAGGCTGAAGATAAGGAGGAGCTTAGCCACAGTGCTTGTCTTCTTCTTTGATGCATGCCCACACTTGCATTTTGTAAACATCCCTGGCTTCCAGTGATCACTGCAGTGGATGCAGTGGGTACAGTGGGTCCAGTGGATGGCAAAACACATTTAAGAGGCTCTTGCAACCATGTGGACTAGAAATGCTGGCAGTTGTACCAGAGTGGACATGCAAGTGACTGTGAGGAATGATGGATTTGAGAGCTATTCCATATGTGCATATGACAGGCTCTGTGTGGGGCTGAGTGTGAGAGGTGAAGGGAGGAGGCCCCAGATGCACCTGGGCTTCTGGCTTGTGTAACTGGCCAGCTAGAGTCTCTGAGACTGGAAAGAGTATTTGGAGATGTTTAGGGTTGTGAGGGGCTTGGTCAGAGGGGGGGCAGAGATAAAAAATACATATATCTTCTGGATATGATTGATCTGAGCTGCCTTTTATGTATCTGTGAAGAGAGGTCAAGTTGTGCAAATGAGACTGGAGGTCAGTACGAAGGTTTGGACTGCAGATGAGGATTTGCAAACCATCTTTTTCTAAGTGGCAACAAACAGTGGAACCAAATGAGAGCATTGGAGAGAATGTAAAGAGAAGAAAAGTCCATGCAGGAGCTTTGGGCAATGAGAGCAGTAAGAAAGAGGTCAGCGCCATTAGATTCTGCTTGAAGGCCAATTTAGATGAAGATTGAAAAGCATCATTCTCTCCTTAGCAAAATGGAGGCCACTGTTGGCCTCAGCAATAGCTAGGTGATGAAGGGGGAGTGATAAAGCCGGAAGCCAGACTGGAGTATGAGGAGAAGTGAGATGGGTGGAGGATGGCAAATATGGAGGGTTCCTTCAAGAATTCTGGTTCTGAAGGGCAGAGAGAAATAGAGCAATAGTTGTACAGAGTGTTGAGGGTTCCAGGGCTCATTTTTGTTCTTTTCATGTTTTACATTAGAGAGAATTGAGCATGTTTAAAAATCAGTGGAAAGACAGTCACAAAAGGACAAATACTGGATGCTTCCACATACATGTGGTCCCTGGAGTAGTCAAACTCATAGAGACAGGAAGTAGAATGGTGGTTGCCAGGGCCTGGCAGGAAAGAGGAATTTTTGTTTAATGGATATAGAGTTCCAGTTTGGGAAGATGAAAAAATTCTAGAGACGGGTGGTGGTACAAACCCGGGTTGTGCAACAGTGTGAATGCACTTAATGCCACTGAGCTGCGCACTCAGAAATGCTCTGAAGAGTCTGTCTTCAGTCAGTTCAGTTATTCAGTCACGTCCGACTTTTTGCGATTCCATGAACTGCAGCACACCAGGCTTCCCTGTCCATCACCAACTCCCAGAGCTTGCTCAAACACATGTCCATCGAGTCGGTGATGCCATCCAATCATCTCATCCTTTGTCATCCCCTTCTCCTCCTGCCTTCAATCTTTCCCAGCATCAGGGTCTTTTCCAATGAATCAGTTCTTTGCATCGATACAGAGAAAAGGAGGCATTTTGTAGGAAGGTGAGGGGAAGAGAGGTTTTAATAGAGGAGGTTTGAAATTGTCAATGAGGATGGAGTAAACCAGAGGAATGAAGCGGGATCTCTAGATATGCTGACCACTTTGAGGTTGGGAGTGTGAATTCAGAGAGAAATTCAGTTGTGTTTTCTCATAGGTGGTATGACCCACAGGTCAGCAGGCAGCTGCATGTGAGGAAGCATGGAGGAGGCCTGAAAATTCTCTTGGATTTGGAAGGCGACCCCATTCTCGGGCATCTCTTCTAGGTGTTGGAAAGTCACTCAGCTGTGTCTGACTCTGTAACCTCATGGACTATAGAGTCCATGGAATCCTCCAGGCCAGAATACTGGAGTCGTTAGCCATTCCCTTCTCTAGGAATCTTCCCAACCCAGGGATCAAACCCAGGTCTCCCACACTGCAGGTGGATTTTTTACCATCTGAGCCACCTAGGGAAGTCCTCTAGGTGTTTAGTGATGAATTAAACCTCAATCCTCAAAGATTCTGAAATTTTAATTTCTAGCAATTGCTCTCCTGGGTACATATGCAAAGAAAACCAAAATAATGCTGTGAGCTGATACATGCATCCCAACGTTCACTGCAGCACTATTTACAATAGCCAAGACATGGAAGCAACCTAAATGTCCATTGACATAGACATGAATTAAGAAGATGTGGTATATATACAATTGAATATTCAGTTCAGTCCAGTCGCTCAGTCTTGTCCGACTCTTTGCGACCCCATGAATCGCAGCACGCCAGGCCTCCCTGTCCATCACAAACTCCCGGAGTTTACTCAGACTCATGCCCAGCGAGTCGGTGATGCCATCCAGCCATCTCATCCTCTGTCGTCCCCTTCTCCTCCTGCCCCCAATCCCTCCCAGCATCAGGGTCTTTTCCAAT